AATGTAGATTGTCTTTTAATTCTTTGAGATAATTGGAAATTAGTTACTGGCTCTGTATCAGAAATACATAGAAAATTATTGATTAAACAATAAGTGTCATGGTGAATTATATTATTTATAAAAATATTTGCCAATAGATGATTTAAATTGTTCCCTGGTATGTTCCTAGGTTTTTGAAATTACCTGATTGGAAGATATTCCATTCTAAGCGACTACTTTTCTACCTACATCTGTAATATGATGTCGAATTTATTATCATAAGGATAGTATATTCTATATAATTGAAACATAAAATATCCTGTCCTCTTTTGAATTTTTTATTGGTAATTTCATTTTCTAAAATTATATTTCGAAATTGATTATATCTGGCTATATTGCCAACTTTGAATTATATTGGGATTAATTCCTCTCTCAAAAAAATTTTTGATGTTGTTTGACACGGTCTTATAAAAGAAAATTTTTAAACATTCTTTTTAACCACACTTTAATTGGCCTATGGAATCGATACTTTACAATGAAGTGTATACGATCAGGGCACGAAAATCAATGTTAAGCAGTTGTAATGGTTTTATTATATTTAATTCTCCTTTAAACTACTTGTTTTGTTATGGTAATGACATTCCAAAATTTAAATTGTTTTTTTTTTTGAACTACACTAATTCTAATTGTGCATGACATTATATTAGTTATAAATTTTATTATAAAAAGATCTAATTTCATTTTATATTGTCAGTGAAAAATAAAATTGATTCTAATTCTCCGAATATTATGTCCAATTTAACAGAACACATCATGTGGCATTCCTCTACATACTTAATGAAATCGTAAATTAATAAATAAATATGAAACAGGTTACCAATAAAAATGGAATTTCCGATATACTCAGGCAATGGCGATCTTTTTTAAGTAGATTCGAAGACATATTCATGGATGCTCAGATCTCGGATATCGAAAAAGCTGGATCCTTTACAGGAAGATTACCAACGATGAATATATCAAGCTCAAATCAATATGTCTACCTACCTACTTCATCAATCAATCATTATTGGTTGAAAAATTTAGGTTATTACCTCCGAGGAAATCTACAAATTCGAACTTACAGGGTTCCCCATTCAAAAAAGGAAAAGTCGATATAAAAAAGAAAAAGTTTCATTAATAAAAGGAAAAAGTTCGATCAAAAAAGGAAAAGGTCCAAACAAAAAAGGAAAAGTTCCAATCAAAAAAGGAAAAGTGTCAATCAAAAAAGGAAAATTCCCAAAAAGAAAGGAAAAAGTCTGATCAAAAAAGGAAAAATATCAAACAAAAAAGGAAAAGGTTCAATTAAAAAAGGAAAAGTGTCAAACAAAAAAAGGAAAAGGTCCAATCAAAAAATGAAAAGTGTCAATCGAAAAAGGAAAATTCCCAAAAGAAAAGGAAAAGTATCAATCAAAAAAGGAAAATTCCCATTCTTAAAAAAGGAAAATCGTAATTTTTTAAAAAAAATTATAAATTTTTCAATTTTTCTTAAATTTTTATTTATTTTTGTCATTCCTTCTTATTTTATTTCTAACTTTTTGCGATTTCTTTACTTTATTTGTATCTTTTCTCAATTAATTTTTTTTTACTATATTTTTTTTCAATTTTTTTTCTTCTCATTTTTGATAATTCTTTTGTATTTTTAAAAATAATTTAAAAATTTAGGTTCATTTTTTAACAATTCTTTACGATTTTTTTCATCATACATATGTCGTAATTTATGTAGGGATCATAACTATCCGGGATCTTCACGGGATTTAAAGGGATCCCTTTAAAATTACAATTTTTAAAGGATAAATTTTATTGTTATTCATTAATTTTTAATGTTGATTTTTTTAGCCTTATGAAATAAGATATGTCTAATATAGGGTATCAATCGATAGCTAATCAAAAGATCTATTCAACTGAATCTATCCCCCATAATGGGCTGATCTAAGTCTTGGGGGGGGGGTGAGAAATATTTTTATCAACACAAAATATCGATATGGGTATTAAATAAAAGCTAATTTTATTATGATTTGACTGAAAGTCTTCATTCTTGGTTTTTTAAAAAAATTAAAAAAAATTAAGATTTTCCATTTTGAATTGGAATTTTCCTTTTATGATTGACACTTTTCCTTTTCTTTTGGGAATTTTCCTTTTTCGATTGACACTTTTCCTTTTTTGATCGGACCTTTTCCTTTTATGATTGAAACTTTTCCTTTTTTGATTGGGACTTTTCCTTTTTTGAATGGGAAACCCTGTATTATTATTTAACGCAGCTGTACAAGGTAAAAATGAAAGTTACATAAATTGGGTAAGTAGATTATGCATTTTAAAAAATGAGTGTTTGCAAGATGATAGTAGAGTTATTGAAAAGTAAAAATTTCGTCAATCAGCAAAAATATTAGGCAAAAAATATGTTAAAAGAAAACATTACATTAGCAGTAAGAGATCATTTTGAGGAGTTGGAATTAATAGAAAATATAATTGCTAAAGTTGAAAATATTTCTTTAAACGAAGATGAAACAACCGTGAAACATTTAGAAAGGCAAAGAGGTAGAAAAACAGAAGAAAACTAACAGATGGTGAAATATGGAGACCATGACGAAAAACAAAATATACAATCTAATAAGGATAACAGACAACAAAGGACAACAAGAAGCTATGACTTTCAAAGAAATAATTATCAAGGAAATAGTTACAACCCTAGATATCCGAATTATAATGCGAGTTATTACAACAACGTCAGGGCAAACTACCCAAGATCCTGCAATAATTTTTCAAGATTCCATAATAGAACTAGTTATAATAACAATAACTATAATAACCATAGATTTAAAAATGATTATAATTACAGATATAACAATCATTATAACGATTCATGATTTATCCAAAGACATAACAATAATCATATTATTGGAAATCAAGTATGAAATCAAGTATGCAATTGTAGATATCATAATAACGATAATAATTGATCACGATACACAAACAAAGTAAACACTGTAAATATAGAAGGAGATAAAAGAAGATGATAATGATAAATTAGAGAAAAAAGAATATAATTTATATAATTTGGATATAAACTATATGGATTCTGATATAGATAACACAAATGATGTATATAAAGTTACAGTATATTTGAATGAAGTGCCTATATTAATGCAAATAGATACCGGTTCTAGATTCAGCATCCTATCGATTCATATTGCAAGAAAGATTGGAATAAAAATCTTAAATAAATCGGACACAAAATTAACTGGATACGATGAAAAAATGATAAAAGTATTAAGTACTGTCCAGCAAAATTCGAGGACAAAACTCAAATCTTAAATGCTTATGTGGTCCAAAGTGACAATATAATACTTTTGGGAAGGACCTGGATAACAGTTTTTGGAAATATACTAGATATTGTGAATCTAGTCGAGGAAGATTATGACAATACTTTACAAGAATTAATACCGCAAACAAATACAGAAGAGATAATACAAAAGATAGATGGTAAAATAATTGATGACAAATTTTGCGACATACCAATAAATTTTAAAAGAATAGTTAAAGAAACTAGTATTGATAAAGAATTAATGGAAGTAATTAACAATATAAAGAATCATGAACAGATAAAGAATAAAACATATAAAAATATGGTTGGAACTGAGCTTAATTAAAGATTGTGATTTTAAAGAAAATAAGATTATAATACTAAAATATGAGAAAAGAGAGTAGGTGCTGGAAAAACGAAATCATTAGCGAGAGATTATTTGTGGTGGCCTGGTTTAAATGCAGAAATAGATAGGGAGGTAAAAAATTGTGATACATATAATAAATATGTATGCAGACAATCCTCACAATATACAAAATCGATGGGAAAAAAACAACAAAAATATTCGAACGTGTGCACATAGACTTTATGCAATTTGAAGATATAATTTTTGGCATGTATTGACGCATTTAGCAAATTCCTTATTATTAGACGTGATGGGTGACAAAGTTTGGTATAAAACATTCAAGGAAAACAATTGGGACAAAGGTACAGTAACAGGTAAAGATAGGAATTTATCGTATGAAATAGATACTTGAAACAAAATTATAGACATTTAGACCAGATCAAAAAAAGGTCAACGAATATTATACCCCTTAATAATGGTGCACAAATGTTAATAACAATACCTTATACTTTAAATTTTAGAAGGGGGGAAGAAGTGACGATGAACCAATATGACATCAAAGTATACAAGTGCAAGATCAGAGTCAACAGTCAAAGACCAATCAGAAATATAATATTGCCTAAAAAATTCGAAAATTTCATAAATGTATATATAAAAAAAATTAAAAAAAGATATATAATAAATAATAAAATATTTTTTTTTTGTTATAAGAATTTTTAAATTTAAAATAAACTTTCAATAGCTTATACTATATAAACAAGATTTTTTTTGTGGATGAAAACTAATGAAATATACTAGTGATGACTAACGATAACTATCACAATCAACAAACGACAAAAGACAATAAATGACGAAGAAACCAATAAGCAAGAAAAACGATAAGATGATAGACAGAGGGCGAAAACAAAGGGTGAAATGTTAAGTAGTTGTAATTGTTTATTTTATTTATAATTCTCTCATAAACTACTTTTTTTTTGTTTTGGTAACGACATTCAAAATTTAAATTGTTTTTCTTTTTTTTACTTGTTTTGTTTTGGTAATGAGATTCCAAAATTTAAATTGTTTTCTTTTTTTTATGAACTACATTAATTCTAATTGTGATTGACATTATATTAGTTACAAATTTTATTAAAAAAATATAGAATTTTATTTTATATTGTCAGTGAAAAATAAAATTGATTCTATAATAAAATAAAAATGATAATCACAATTTCTCTGAATACCAATTTTTCAGAACACATCAATTCAATATAACTAATATTTTTTTTCAAAGTAACACTCAAAATGACAGATGACATTTTATCCTCTTTTTATTGAATTGATAAAAATATTTTGATATGATTGCAACTATAGAAGATTTGAAAATTCAAATTCTTTGTCTACAAAATGAGATAAATAATGTCAAAACAGCAGCTAAGCTATACAATAATCAAAAGGAAGAAGAATATAAAAGAAAAAAAAAGGATTATGATGAAGAACTATTTTTTTTACGAAATATAGTCAATGGTAATGATTATTTCCTTTATTATATAATTCGATAATTTTTATTAGATAATGTAAAAACCATCACTTAATTAAGATTAATATTTTACATTTTTAATATTACTGAATTTGGATCATATGACTAATTTTATTCAATTTTCTATTATAACATTACTCCTTTTGTTAATTACCATATAATTGTTGCTTGCATAAATTAAAATCATAACTCAAATATAAAAATAATAACAAATTTTGCTCTAATATTTTTCGGGGTTCACTCTCAAGAAATACATTTGTAAAAAAAAATATTTTAAATATAAATACAAAATACCTATAAAAAAATTTAAATACAAATACCTTGATGGATACTTTATTAAAGTCGTTTTTATACTACCATTATCAATTACATTGTGGACACAGAATATATCTATAATATTTGATAAAATAAAGCAAACATAAAAAAGGTTGAATAAATCTCATTTAAAAATTAAAAAAAAACAGGAATTTTAATATTATCTAATATATACCTTATTTAGCATATTAATTAAATTGGCAAAACTATTTATTATAGCAAAATAGACAAACAATATCTTCGAAAAAATTTATATCCTTGGTTCACTTGTAAATATCTATTTTATATACAAGGAGAAATGGATAAATGTTAATTTTTTTGATAAATTGAATCACAAATTTTATATATAAAGAAATTAATTGTGAATTTAAATTTATAATAAAAAAGGTATTTGTATTCTTCTGGAATTGTGAAATCATAATAAATATACACATACTGATAAAATCTAGCCTGGATTTAAAAAAAAAATTATATTCACCCTGGCCCAGATTTTTGTGGCCTATAAAAATAAATTTTTGGCTCAACCTAGATGTATAAAATTTTTTTGATAAAATGGTTTTGAAATGATATAGCTATATGAGAAATGAATGAATGTGATATATTATTCAATCTTGCAAGAATTATTAAATATATATTTTTTTATCTATTTATTTTATATATAATTTAATATAAATATATAATAATCATGATTTAATATATTCAGCCAGGCATATTATTTTTTTTTGCAGGCCATTTCTTTAAATTTTTTTAGGCCTGGCCCATGTACCTGGCTTTGGGCCATGCTAGGTCTGCAAGTTTGTTAAATATGAAATACTTTTTTTAGTATTTAAAATACCAAAATACTTTCTAAAATATTCAAATAAATATCTAAATACTAAAATATATTTGTATTTAGTATTTTAAAAACAGGTATTTGCATTATTGCTCAACCCTTAATGCAAGAACTTCTACTCTGGGGGGGGCATATGACACAAGATTCAAATTAAGGAGGGGTAGGTAGTTATGAAGATTTTATCAATAAAATAGAGGGGAGGGGGTAATGTGGTAGTTTTGATTTGGATTTCCTTTTTTTTCTCCAAATTTTGATTTTAATTCCCTTATTTTAATTAAGAGAGAAGGGGGATTTTTTGGGGTAATATTTTGCCAATGAGTTATTGGGGAGGGATGTAAAAGCTCCTAAAAATGTATAATGTAAACCATTCCATTAGTGCTGTAAACGTTACTACAAAAAAGAAACGCGTTACCGTTACTCGTTATATCTGAAAAAGGAACCCGTTACCGTTACCTTTTCAAAAAAGGAACGCGCGTTATTAACTTTTCAAAAAAGTAACGGGCTATTCGTTACTTAAAAAAATTAAATATATACAAAAAAAATATTTACTTTTTACCGGCAATATATAATAAAATAAAACTATACAAAAAGAATATATAAGATCGTTTTATAAAAAAAATATTCATATATTTAATTATAATATAAATAAAATTATACAAAAATAATATATTATAAGATAACATCTTTATGTAACAATTTTTTATTTATTTTTAGTAACAATTGATTTCAAAATTTTGATCAGACAAACAAGAGCGCTTAGTACTTAATACAGCTGGTTAAATAATGGGATGTTATAGTAATCAATAATAAATAAGATCTATGAAATTCTCTGTAAAATTTTGTTATTGGATAAATCCTGGCTACGCCACTATTTTATATCATATGGGATTCGGAATCCCAACGTAAGGATTCAACTTGAATCCTACGTTTTATTCGGGATATTTTTTTTAAAATATTATTTTAAAAATATTTAAAAATATTCCGAATCCCCATGAAAAAAAAAAATAAATAATATAATTATTTTTCTTCTCTCTTTTTGCGGCTGGCACCATATAATAGGCCAAAATAAGGGATTTAAAAAGAGAATTTAAAAAAAAGTAAATAGCATAAAATTAAGGCATATAATGAATGAAAAGGGATGAGGTTAAGACTTTTTTGTTTTAAAAAATATATTTATAAAAAATCCGAATTATTGCAACAATTATTCAATGCAATATGGCATTTAGTTGAACATTTAAGCAGGGACCCGAACCGTTATTTATAATGGTTCAGTTTTACGGTTCAGTATATAAAAAATTATTATGGTTTATTTTTCTGGATGCCGTTTTTAAAAATCAATTATGAATAAGGAAAAATACTATGTATCTTTAGGTTGAGCCAAATAAGGTCAGACTCATTTAGAGATTGTTAAAACTAAATTATTTATATAACGAACAAATTTTAAGTTGAGATTATCAAAATGTTTTTTTAAAAAAAGGCTAAGGACCAATATATATTTTTATTTAGTAATTTTATTACATATTTTTATATAGTTTTAATATTTTAGTATTTATCATTTTTTTTAAAATCATACAAATATCAATATTTTCAAAATAAAATTAAAAAAAAAACAAATAACAACAATGGCGATATTTTGAAGTTTTGGAAACAGGAAAATTTATTTCCTTTTTTAAGAAAATTAGAGAGATTTGTCAGCCCTGGCGAATTGGGCTTCTAGTGAAAAGTTATTTTTTATAGCCAATCGCCTATTAGAGGAACGTACACAATTGAAATAAAAAAAAATAGACAGTCTTCTTTTTCTAAGTAAAAATTTGGATTTATAATATGTACTTATTTTTTGTTATTATGGATTATGGAATTAAAGAAATAAATAAAATAAATTCAAAAAAGTGTAAAAAATTATAGCATTAAAGTTTTGAAAAATTTAAAAACACCGTTAGTTTTCGGGCGTGAAATAAAATATTTTTTTCGTAAGCGGGCAGGTTGGGTCGAAATTTTTTTAGTGGTAAGCGTGAATGGGCGTGAATATTTTCATTGCCACATTTAATTTAATTTATTTTATTTTATTTTATTACATTTAATTTATATTAAAACCATTTTTTCGTGTATTTATTTAATGAAAAAATAGTGTTGTTAAAAAGTCGAATTCACCCGAGTCGATAGTCGAATTAGTCGACTCACTGAAGTCGTGAACTCGAGTCGAGAACTCAAGTCGACTTAAGTCGTAAACTCAAGTTCGAGAACTCAAGTTGTGAACTCAAGTCAACTCGAATCGTGAACTCCAGTCAACTCGAGTCATGAACTCAAGTCGACTTGAGTTGAGAACATGAGTTTTCCACTTGAGTAGTGAACTAAAGTTGATTAGAGGACGAATATTTCGAATAGGTATTGTATAATATTATTTTTGTTACAATTAATTTGTGGTTTTCATGCAAAAATTTTAAGCAAAATTTAAATTGATAAGAATTTAAAATCTTCTTTTTTAATTATTTTTTTTGTGAATTATTAATCTTTTTAGTTGAAATCTTTTATGGGTTTATTTTTATCATTTTTGTAAAATTATCTATTTTTTTTAAGTATATTAAAAGAACTAGTTTAAATAATTTATAAATATTATATTAAATTTTTATGTTATTTTACATGATCGTCTTATAATATTTTAATGTGACAATTGTCATGATATTTTTTAACATTTTTGAAATTTTTGGTACATAAGGGTAAAAATATAATTTATATTATAAATATGTTAAATTATAAATTTAATGATGATGTTCCTTTGTAAAAATGACAAATATCATAATCTGTATTTTAAAATATATTAGTTTATTTTTGACGCTAATGGGTAAAAATATATGTAAATATGTTAAATTAAAATTTCAGTGAAGATGTACCCTAGATAAGTGACAATTGTCATAATCGTCATTTTAAAAGTTTTTTGAAATTTTTTGACGCATATAGGTAAAAATATAGATTGTAAATACGTTTAAGTAAAAATTCAGTGAAGTTTACCATAGATATGTGACAATTGTCATAATCGTTATTTTTGAACTTTTTTGAATTTTTTTTAAAGTAAATAGGTAAAAATATATATTGTAAATATGTTAAATTAAAATTTCAATGAAGATGTACCATAGAAAGTGACAATTGTCATAATTGTTATTTTTGAACTTTTTTGAATTTTTTTAAAGTAAATCGGTAAAAATATATATTGTAAAAATGTTAAATTAAAATTTCAGTGAAGATCTACCATAGAAAAGTGATAATTGTCATAATCGTTATTTTTGAACTTTTTTGAATTTTTTTAAAGTAAATCGGTAAAAATATATATTGTAAAAATGTTAAATAAAAATTTCAGTTGAAGATATACCATAGAAAAGTGACAATTGTCATAATCGCTATTTTTGAACTTTTTTGAATTTTTTTAAAGTAAATAGGTAAAAATATATATTGTAAATATGTTAAATTAAAATTTCAGTGAAGATATACCATAGAGAGTGACAATTGTCATAATCGTTATTTTTGAACTTTTTTGTTAAAACGAGGTGATTTTTAGCATACGCCCGTTTATCTTATTAGGCGAGGAGGAGAGCACACTTTTTAATTATAAAACCATTTAAATTTGAAAGTAAGGAGATTGATTTGTAAATCTTTTCTTGATATGAAAACTATTTAAATAAAAAATTAAGTTTTGTTAATTGGTTAATTGTGTAACCCCCAGACCCGTGGTTTCGGTATAAAAATTGATAAACCAGCTCTGATCACGAGCCTCTGGAAAAGACCCGGGGTTCACACACTTAATCGCCACGCCTAAAAACTGCGAACATGTATTTTCTTTAAAAA